AGACTCCTTGCTTTCATTGTGTCCTCTCGGTTGTGAAGTGCCGTGTCCTCCATCACGTCCAGCTGGTGGCAGGCTTTCCTGTCCCTCCAATCTGCCCGTGACCTGTGGCTCACTGGCTGCTCAAATGTTTGGAGAGTTTTCTGTTACCTTCCTCAAATTGCTACCCAGCCTCATTTCTCTGTCATCAGAGAATGTGCCCTGTGCGACTTCAGCCATGTTGCGATGGCCGAGTCGGAGTCACGACCCAGCGCGGGCACGGCTCACTGGGCCAGGGCTCCGCTGGGCCAGGGCTCCGCTGGCCCTGGGTGGCGTGGCCTTGGTCTCAGGGCCCTGGGTTCGCTGCTGGCTGTTTCTGTCCTTACTGGGAGGGATGCGTCAAGGTCCCCAAGTACGGTGGCGGGTTTGTCTAATCCTCCTCTCAGCTTTCGTCAGCTTTTGCTCCTTGTACGTGACACACTCGACCGCCAGGCACGAGAACATTTCTGTGTCCCCTTCTCAGGCCGCCCCTCACATCGCTGTGGGGTCCCCCTTTTCGCCCTGGAAATCGTCTCTGCTTTTGTCCCCACTGTGCCTGATACCGACTGTTCTTAGATTCATGGTTACATGGTGTAAACATGTAAACATGTTTACATGTTATCTCCTGCATTATTTTACTTTTAACCCACCTGGATCTGTTATTCCAAGTGAATTTTTTTGAAAGTACACACTGGGATATTTTTTTAATTCATTCCGTCTTTTCATTGGTGTAAGTAAACCACTCACATTGAATGTGATTATTGACACAGTCGGATCTAGATAAAAGCACATTTGTTTCATTTTACTATTGATCTTATTTGTTGCACTTTATTTGATTATATTTTATTTGTTTTCTGCCTTTTCCCTGTTCCTCATTTCTCTTTCCCCTTTTCTTCCTCCCCTCCCTCCCTCAGGCCATTTCAACATCTCTTTCGTATTTTCATACATCACATACCTGGTTTTTTAATACAGTTACCTCGTTCCATGCTCTTCCTAGTGGCGGTTCTGGGGTCGCCCTGGCGTCAGGGTGACGTGGGGCCCACACCCACTTCCTCCCGAACGCCCGTCCGGTCGGGGCATGACTTTGCTTCCGGTCACTCCAACACAGGGCCCAGCACAAGTAACCCCCGTTTTGTTACATGATCCACTATTACAGAGTCGTGAGTGTGTGATCCTGGCACACACCAGTATCACACTCAGGCACACCATGTGAATGTCAGCTGAAGTGTTCAGATAAAACTGGACGTCGTCACACCTGCAGCATCACCCCAGGAACCGCAGTCCGGCAGGTCGCACCTCTGCCGGGCCCGCATCCCAGAGACGCCCCGGGGGCGCTGACCATCTCTCTCCTCTCCGTCCGCCTCCGTCCTCCTGTTCCCCCGCCCACCTCAGCGGTCGTTCACACTCAGGTCTGCCGGGAGTGGGCAGTCCGTGTTTATCTGGGAGCGCCGTCATTTGACCTTCATTCTGGAAGGGTGTTCCAACTGGACGTAGAATCCCGAGTCGCCGGTTTCCACGCCCAGCCCATCGTCACCGCTGTCCTCCCTCCCTCTGACCTCGGAGGCTTCCACTGGGAACGCTGCAAAGTCCGCTACAAACAATGCAGTGTTCTTCCTCGGTTGGTAAGGGTTTTGCCTCTGTGTTCAGGTTTCAGCAGCTCTGTCCTGACATGTCTCAGGGCGGGTTTCTCCGGCCGAGCTCTGTTTGCCAGGCCCTCTGCTGCTTGAATCTGCGGTTGTGTATCTTTGGCCCAATTTGGAAAAACTTTTTTGCTATTGTTTTTCTTTTCCCTCTTTTGGAATGGTGATAATTTAAATGCTAGACCTTTTGCCTTTGCCCCACCGGTCCCCAGGGTCCTTTTTGAGTGTTTTTGTTCGTTTTTAGCATGTTCCTCAGGGTTTTTCAGATCGGATACTTCCTGTTGGCTTGTCCCTGGTTTCGGTGACCCTCCCCCGGCGTCTCTGTTCCGCTGCTGAGCCCACCGCTGCGGCGTGTGACCGGCAGGACTGTGTTTTCAGCACTGAACCCCCCTTGGATTCTCCTTTGTAGCTCGTGCTTCTGTGAAATGCTGCGCCTTCTCCTTCACTTCAAGGGCAGCCTCCCTTCTCGCCGAGTTCCCCCCGCCCCCCGGACCCTTTCACGCTGTCAGGTGGCGTGTAGCGTGCCACCACGCCGCACACTCGGACTGTGTCACAACTGTATTTGTCAATTACGCCTCCAAAAGCTGGGGGAGGGCACAGGGGATTCCAACATCTGTGTCCCCTCGGCCCTGGCATTTGTTGGTTCTCTTCTCCCAGGTGAGTGGCGATCTCCACTCTGCCCCGGCCCCACCCCGGGCTGCGGTGTCTGCACAGGCCGCCCTTCGCGGAGCCCACACGTGGGGTGCAGGCCGTCCCGAGGTCCCCTGCACGTGTGGCACGAAGAGAGCCCACACCGAAGACGCCCGTGACACAGCAGCTCTCTGCGGCCAGCGTCGGGATGCGCACCCTCACTGCCTGCCGGTGCTCAACAGTTTCGGGAACAGTGTTGGCGGGGCCAGGGGGTCCGGTGGTGTCTTTCAAGTGGGCACCCAAACCGGAGTATGAACAGCCACGTCCTTAAGATAGAGGCGCTCTGGTGGCAGGACAGCCTCCGGCTAAGCCCGCCCTGACCCCACAGCGCAACCATGGCCAGCAGTGGCCAGGGCCCAGAACAGGCCGGAGAAGGGACGAGCAGGAAAGGGTGAAGGAAAGGCGCTTCCAGAAACCAGCCGCCAGCAGCCACTCCGCACGGCCGTGGGTTCACACCTGCTCCCGGGTGGAGGGTGGGGGAGAGCATGACGGGAGAGAAAAGAATTCTGTTTTGATGGCAGCCCACGATGGTCCAGCCACTGGAGATCCACATGCTTGCCGCCCCCTCCAGAGCACCTCTCTGTGCGGGAGTTTTTATGGGCAGGCTTCACTGCGTCACCGGAGGGTATGGGACAGCTGGATGTGTTGCCCCCCACCCTGAAACCATTCTTGTTTCTGCAGCTGGTTTCGCGCAGGGCGGGGTTCACGGCACTGACTCCGGGCTGCCCACGCTCGTTAACGCGTCTGCTGCCTGCGGGGTGAGTGTGAGTCTGCCGGGCGTCTGCAAAGCCAACGCTTGGTCGCTGCCTCTTGCCGCCCTTGACCTCTCGTTCCTAGCGTCTGCCTGGCCCGTGTGGGGCGCCCACTGGTCTCCTGCGGAACTTGGCAGTGACGTGGAAGACACTTGATAAGCGCGTGTGCATACACAGACGTGTAACTGTTTTACTGCTCGACGCGCTTACACTCGGGAAGGAGGGTGCTCCTCAAGGTGGGGCGATGGCTTGGGGCTGGCACTCCCTGACACATGGGGACGGCCGCTCCCGACCTCCCCTGGCTGCGGAGACCCTGCCCACAAACCTCGCCTTGTAGCCGACAGGCTCAGGGAGCCCCAGGCTGCACAACAGGGTGCATCCCCTGCTGAGTCAGACACTGGGGCTGTCGGACAGCCGGCCTCTGCTCCCGTCTGAGAGCTGATGGCCCGCGAGCCTCCCCCCGGCAGCCGGCCCGAAATCTCTTTTTCTTCACCTTGTCACTACCGTCCGCCTCCTTTGCTCGATTCTCCCAGGTCGTCTGTGAGTTGGGCACAGTGACAGCAGCAGCAGCGATGACGGTTAGCAGTTGGGTTTCAGGGCCCTTCCGGAGGAAACCGCAGTAAACAGTGTGTTTGCCCAGGGAGCCCTCCCCGCCGCGCCCTCGGCCACCATCCCGGTGCTAATGAACCCGGCGCCGTTAATGTGGTTTCTTCAGTTAAATTGATTCATGAATTTTGAAGAGAACATTATCTAATGAATTTTCTTTGAATAGAAAGCAATTAAAAGGACAAATCAGTCTGATTAACCCCAAAGTCACCCTCCTGCCACAAATGGTGTACAGTTTGAAATTATATCATAAAAAACTGGAGCACACTCGCTATCTTTTGCCCTCGCGTAATCCACGTAAATTAATGAACAACAAAGTTAATTTCTTTGATGACCCTTTTCTCGTATCACCTGGATTATGCTGATGTTTAATTTGCTTAATGTTATAATAAAGACTAAACACATTTTTTCCGGTGAAGCGATTATCGTTCCCTTCAGCTGAGAAGTGAGTTGTATTATTTAACGCACATGTAAGGGTGTGTTTCTTCCTAGAACCAGCAGCACCGGCCGGCTTGGCACCAAGTGTGATTCTCGCCGTCCCGGGCACTGTCTGGGCACCGGGCCTGCCCAAGGGGCCCTCGGGACCTCCTGCCCCCGGAGGGCTCGGCGCCCCACCGTGGGGGACGCCACCGGTGTGCCCTTGGGAAAAGACCGGCGGTGTCCATCCAGACCGGCCGTCTTCACGGCCACGGCTTCTCTCTGGCTGATTCCCCCCCACCGCCCCAGGAAACGGCTCCCACCCCGGGGGCCGTGGGAGTAAGGGTTCATCTGAAGCAGCATAAGGAGCGAGTGCAGCTCCATGTGGTCAGAGGATTAGAACAGAAACAAAGTGATTTGGTTTTGCAGCTCCGCTCCTCACGGGTGCCTGTGGCCAGGGTCCCCGCCGGCCCCTGGCTGCCATGGTTGGGTGTTCTGAATCCGCTCGCGGCCGAAGGTGGACGCCAGCCCAGCGTCCCAGCCCGGCCCACGGCTGCTTTCCTTTGGGCCCCAGCCGAGGTGGGACTGAAGCAGCAGGGCTCGGGGTTTCAAAGTCACAGGCAGGGACGGCCCCTGGCACTGATGTGCGGGTGCCAGCGGGCAGGGAGAGGCTGCACGTCTGCAAAGGGTGGTCAGGAGCGTCCCGCCTCGGGCATGTTCCCCGGGCGACACAGTGCCAGGAGTGTGCTGGGTGCTGTGGTTTAACCAGGGGTGACACCCCGTCTGTGTCCGTGCGTGTCTCTCTCGGGACTGCAGCCACTGCCTCGGCGCTGCCCGGGCAGGCTGCCCACACAACCCCTTTCTGCCTCTTTCCCCCCAGACTCGTTCACCAGACAGGTGCTGTGCAAGCTGCTGAAGGCCGTGGACTTCGGAGAAGTGGTGTCCTACCAGCAGCTGGCAGCCCTGGCGGGCAGCCCCAGAGCCGCGCGGGCCGTGGGTGGGGCGATGAGAAGCAACCCCGTAAGTCCGGGTCAGCGCGGAGGTGGGGCGCGGGCGGTCCTGGGCGCCGTGTGGGCGTTCGATGTGAGTGTGTTTCCCAGGCAGCCTGTGCGGTGGCTGGCAGACAGGAAGCCTTTGTAACGTGGCCGTGGGGGAGGGGAGTGTGGGCAGTGCCCACGGTGGGACCCCACCCGCTTTGGGGAAGGTGGCAGAGAAGCACTCCCACCCCCTGCCCCCCGAGAGGCCAGCCCCTCAGGGTGGGGGTGCCACAGGGAGCACATGAGGATGCAGCTGGAGACGTGGCGAGCAGACCCCCCCCAGGTGCCGGGTCACCACAGAGCAGAGGGAGAGGCCGGCCTCCTGGAGCTCAGGTTCTAGACGGATTCCCCTGCTGGGCTCCCACTGGGGCCACCTCCTGGTCCGAGGCCCAGCCCTCCCAGACCCAACCGTTAGGGTCGGCTGAACCTGCGTGACCTGGGATGGTCACTGGATTCCGGCGTGTCTGGCTCTGTCCCCAGGCCCTCTCTTGCCCCGTCCCTCCCGTGTGCCTGCGGCTGGGCTTTGCCGAGAGTGAGGCTCACGGTCACATGAAAATATCTTCTCAAACACCGGCTGCCGTGTGGGGCAGCTGTGCCTGGAGGGCCCGGAAGTACAGAGGGTGCCCCTGGTCCCTGTCGGGCCACACACGGGCCGTCCCAGCAGTCACCAGCAGGTCTCGAATGTCACAGAAGCCACCCGATCAGAGGAGTGCACAGCGCCACGGAATCCTGGGACGGGAAATCACCAAGCAGGGCCTGCTTTCTGAAGCACTGCCGTGGCTTTGCTGCACATTCTCACAACTGTTTTCACCCCGGCTCACGGGGCAGGCGGGCTTTCCTGCACCACGGCCACTGCTTCCTGCCACCCGGCTCGGTGGCCCAGGGCAGAGCCGGCGTCTCTGAGACAAAACAGCGCTGTTCTCTCAGGAGTGGCTCCAGCCAGTTCGCAGTGGACGGCGTGGACCGAATGGACGTCTAGTCTGGAACAGCCTTCCATCACGTCAAGGACCCCGGGCGTCTGGAGCAGCGTGTGACTCACGGCTTCCGCCTGCCGTGCCCCCTGCAGCCCGCGGTCTTGGTGACGAGGGCCGATGGGCCCCATTGGCGAGCTGTTTGCACCCCACCCGTGTTTCATTGCCACATGCCGGCCTCAGCACTAGCATATGCCCTGCCACGCAGAGGGCCACGTTTTCACGGAGCACATGGCATGATTCTGAATGAAGTTTCTGGAAGCGTTTTGTTTGCCAAAAAAGCCTAAACGTCCCTCCCCTTGGACGGCCCCTGTCGTCTTCCAGGTTGTGGCTCCGTTCGATGTTGAAAGGCCACCCGGACCCCATTGTGGCTCCGCTGCGCACCCAGTGCGGGGCTGCTGGGAACGAGCGTGCTTTTGGGCCCACATGTGGCAACACCGTGGGTGCCGGCCCAGTGGTAATTCTCTCTCCATCCCTGCCACGGGCCAGGTTTCTGCTGTCCACGCCCCACGGGTGGAGTTGCCCATCTTCCTCCATGACGTCCAGCTTGATGCCCCAGGTGCGCCCACGCCCAGGGAGGTGACACCGCCTGCGCCCTGAGTGTGCCGGCGCCCATACCTTGCTGGGAAAGCAAGCTGTCCCACTGAGGGGTACAAGTGAGGAGCCCCCGCCTGCCTCTGTACCCAGGGATTCTCGCTTCCACCGTGGGGACGCTGTGGCCGTTCGGCCATCACACTTGTGGCAGTGTTCAGGGACGTTTATTGTCCTGCGACCAGCACGACACTTGCCCCCTGCTGCTCATCTCTGTCCCTGGCGAGTGCGGCCACAGTCACTGAGAGTCACACACCGGACCCTCAGATGAGCAGAGTCCTCCTGTTGGCCCCTGTTGCATGCCGGAGCTGAGCCCAGCGGTGACGACAGACGCAGCAGGAACTTCTGTGAGCGCCCCCCCCCTTTCTCACCACTCCCCCAAGGCAGCCGGAAGTGGTGGGCCTTCAGGCCTCCCCAGGGCCTCTCTCTGTTACCGGGCACTGCAAGGGGCCTGCATAGGGACCTGCATCGCTGAACAGGCTGTACGGAGCCAGCCGTGGCCGGAGCTCAGAGCGCGTCACCCCCTCCCATTGTACGTGGCCGATGGCACTCCAGCATGACGGGAACGAGCCAGTCCTCAGGGCAACAGAAACCTCCCAAGGGTGGACTGCGGGGTCCCGGAGGTGACTCAGGCCCAAGGGCGGAAGGGCAGCTGGTCCCGGGCTGGACCATGCCTGCCGTGGGCATCCTGTGCGGTTGTGCCCCTCCCTTGGCACTGACAGTGGGCGCCTGCACACACAGCGCGGCGTGGAGGCCCGTGGCATGGACACACCTCTGTTCAGGTGGAAGAGAGTGGCCGTGCATCCGGGGGCAGGGGTGGCTGGACACGGGAACCGGAACGCACGTCCCCTGGGCACCTCCCAGCGACACAGACACACTCGGCCTCACATCCTGTCCCTCACCAGGGAAGGGCATGGTGTTCGCTGGGGGGGAGGCTTGTCCCCTCCCAGACACTCGATTTTTCCCAAGTTTTCCTGGGGCCATGCACTGGCCTGCGGAAGACGGGTTGGCAGCCTTCCAGAAGGCGCCCTCCCCAACCCGGCGGGGAAGACAGTCCATTTTCTGGTAGACCGGACTGAGGACACCCCCCGCACTGCCACAAAGTCCCTTCCGCCCACCCTCTGACAGAATTTGCTTAATGCAGTTCAAAGGCGATCAATACGGCGCATGGAGAGTTTCCCACCTTCTTCTACACACGGCGCATTCCGGAGGAGTTAGTTTATTCGCAGATGGCCACGGGCCGTAATGACCCCGCGCCGCGCTCTGCCAGTCACCCAGATGGCTGTTGATAAAGATTTAGCCTCATGTTCCGAGCGTCAGGGCTGTCAGTGGGGCTGAACCGTTTGACCAGAAGAGGAAAACGCACAGGGAGCTATTGATTACAGCTTCCCGGTGTCACTTGCTCTCCAGGATTTAGGTATTGATGAGGCCGCGAGTGAAAACAAGCCGTCTCCCTGCGGGCCGCTGCCGTGAGAACAAAGGCGAAGTCGGAGAGACGGTCGGCCGGCCCCCGAATCAGAGGGAATCCGCTATCGACTGAAAGGCCCTTTCGTGTTATTTTTGTCGGAGACAAATCTATGGGTTTGGAAGTTTTATAGCCTTTGAGAAAGGGGCTCTGTAAGTGATGGATCCGCATAGCGGACGAATTAGATTTCACGGCGCGGAGGTGGCAGGGCAGCTGGGATACGAGCTGCTTGGTTATTGATAGAAATTACATTTCAGGCAGCACAGCCGTGGAAGGGCCCCGCTCCTCAGAAACATCCTCGGGGCCCCGATGAACTGTGGCGGGTTTCTTTATTTCAGCAGTGGGGGGCCTGCCGCCGACGTGAACGGACACGGGGGCGGCGCTCCCGTGTCTGGCGGTAAAACGGTGCGTGTTCGGTCGTCACCCACTCCCCGTCGGCAGGCGCACACGAGGACGCCTGCTCGTCACTTGATCGCGGTTAGTTGTAGCCCCGCCCACCCAGCCCGCCTGTCGCCTGCGTGACGTGCAGAGAGGGAGCCAGGCTCACGTCACACGTCTGTGATTATTTCGCAGCTTGTGGGGGGGGGGAGCAAAGGCCACGTGTGGAATCTGTCAAGTAGGGGATGGAACCGGTGCCCAAACGTCTGCAGAACCAAACCAAAGGAGAGGCCCACCTCTTTCCGCGCCAGAAGTGCGGGTTGGATGTCGTGTCTAAGGCTGTGGTGGTCGATGAAACCCCTCCATCCGAATAACCGCTCCGTTCTGCAGGGTCCGTGTTTCCCTCCGTGAAGGGGGTGGTCTGCGGGGCTGCTGCCTGGCACTCTGTTACACTGCGCGGAACAGGAAGCCGGAGGCCCAGACGGCCCACGTTACCGTGGCAACCCAAACTTCAGTGGGAATCGGACTAGGATTCTACGCAGGGAGTCAGAGTCCCTCCTCCCAAGCCAAATCCCACAGCAGGCTGGCCAGGCCCACCCCCCACCCCCCACCCCGGGAGCAGGAGGGGCTGCGAGGGCTCCACCTCTGCCTGGCGGGAATCCTTGGCCTCCATCATCCATGTGAACTTGAGCAAGGGACTGCTGGGACCTAGGGATGACAGTGCCCAGGGTCACAGTGTGCCCCTCCAGGCGCAGAGCCTGCTGTCCCCAGTGGCATGATTGGCATCATGCCCAGGACAGGCTCCAGGGCGCACGCCTCCGCCAGGGGCCAGTGCAGCCCAGTGTGCCCAGAGCCGGTCCCCCGGTCAGGTGGGCTTGTGAGCTGCCCTGCTCCGTCCTCCACGCAGGGTCTCCAGCGATGGTGGAGGCCACAGGGGCCCCCCGGAAGTGGAGGGCGCCCGGACCCCCTGAGAGGCCGGGGCACGTCGCTTCCTCTAGACACGCAGCTGTCAGCGGCTGGCCACTGTGTCCGGTTCGCCGAGCTTGGAGGGCAGACACAGTCCTCCCCTCTACAGAGCTGCAGCGGGGTGGGGGTGGGCCGGGGGGCGGGGCCGGGCGCCCAAGAGCGCCTTCCCTGGGCGGCCCCTGAGTGTTCCTTCTCTGACGGGCACCGGTGCAGGGGGCAGGCGCAGAACAGGGGTGGGGCGGGGCGGGGCCTGCTGCTGCTTCTCAGTTAGAGGCCTCTACTTACTGTCCTCTGACCTGGAAGGTAATGTTAAATTTTGTGGGTGCGCTTTATAAACCTCTTACCAAGTGAAATTCCGTTTCCAAACCCCAGTGCACAGGGATTGGCTGGAGGATGCCCCACATTCCCCATTCCCCTTAGGTCTTGTGTCCCGCCCAGCCACCCCCGGGCCCCTGCTGGGACCACAGAGATGGGGGGGGGCAGCGCTGAGGCAGTGCGGACCGGCCCTGGCGTGGCAGGGGCTGCACCACAGGGCTCAGGGGCCAGCCCTGGCGTCCCAAAGGCCTCCCCGGCCCCCAGACTGAGGGGGGCCACCTCACTGTCTTCCAGGTCCCCATCCTCGTCCCATGCCACCGAGTGATCTGTAGCAGCGGAGCCCTGGGCAACTACTCCTCCGGGGGCCGGGCCGTGAAGGAGTGGCTTCTGAGCCACGAAGGCAGCTGGCGGGGGCAGCGGCCCCGGCAGGGGGCTCCCGTCCAGCCAGAACCTGGCACGGGGCCCCAGGGGGCGCCAGCAGCGCCCAGCCCTCCCGCTGAACCTCCGTCTTGGCGGGGGGAGTGACGTGGGTGCCACAGAAGTGCCAGGGCCGTCAGCAGGGCCCGTGTGGAGGCCTCATTAAAGGAGCAGCTGTGTCCCGTGGACGCGCGTGTCCTGTGTCTCCTCCGTCGTCCCGGCCGTTTACTGCGAGGCAAGCACGGGGGCCGCCGTCCTGCACATGCGTGTTCCTGTCTCGCTCTCTGTTGTCCCCATACTAGGGTCTGTTCAGGCTGGGGTGGGGGGACCGGGACACGTCAGTGCCTGCCGGGAACAGCTGGCTGCCACCAGGGCTGGCGGTGACCAGCAGGGCCACGGCCACCGGGCCTCGGCCCACACAGCCCTCCCCAGGCTGTGGCCTTGGCCGTTGCCCCGAGAGGCTGACCACCCAGCCTGTCCCCACCTTCCCTCCTGGCTGTGGGGGGTGTGGGCTCACACCGGAGCCTCAGCGAGGAAGGGGCGGCCCTGGGAGTGGCGGGCGCAGAGGTTTGTAGGTCCGTTTGCCCAGCTGCCGGGACGGTGGTGCCTGGTGTCGCCAACTCCGATGCGTGTGGACGTGACAAAGTGAGCAGCTGTCAACAAGATCTGGAATCATGGGCCACCCGGTGGGCGTGGCTGTGGGTGTGGCGGGGGCAGCTCGCAGAGGGCTGGGGTTTTGCCCCTGCTCCTGGCGTCAGCGCGCTCCAGACAGCGCCCCGAGGTGGAGCCTGGGTGTCGGAGGTCACACCCAAGGTGGGCCAGCACCCTGTCGCTGGGGCATCGGGGACTGTCTCCAGCATCCGTGCACCACAGTCCGATCCCTCATTATCATGTTGTCATCTCGGCGTGTAATGAACTGTCTTTGGAAAGCAAGGGGACGCTGGTGGCTCTGCGTGGGGACAAATAGAATGTAGCATGTGAGCTGTGGGGACAGTGGACTGCACCCAGCTGCGCACTGGAAGGCCGTGGTTTCGTCACACCTTCCCCTGGGACAGCACCCGCCACCACAGAGCCGCTCAGGTCGGGGGCGGGGTGTTACCAGAGACCGGGATGGAAATACAGCCCTGCTGTGCATCCTGTTGGGGGTGTTCCGTGTGCCATGTTACCTTGTCCACGGAGGACCAGGGCGAAGCAGTGCCAGGCCCTCCCTGCCACCCCACCACCTGTCACATACCCGTGGTCCCCATGGACCAGGTCCGTCCTGGGCTTTTTCTCTCAAAGATGAACTGGTGTGAGCACTGGCCCGTCATCTGCGGTTTGGGCCCTTCTCGGGGCTTCAGTTTTGGGGCCCAGTCCCTCTCCCACCGTGGGCTGTGTGGGATGCGGCCCCTGAACCCCCCGGCGCTGCGCACGCCCCGCGCCAGCTCTGAGAGCCGGAGGTGCACGCTTGTTTGGCTCTGCTGCTGGCGTGTGGGGGAGAGGAGCCAGGGCCCGGGGAGCACTCTGCGGCTGGGAGTCGTGATCTCAGTTCTCCCGGGAACGGGCGTCCCTCCATCACGGGCTGTCTCCCGGTGCCACCAGTGGGGCCCCAACAGCAGGAGCCGGGCTCCCCACGAGAGGCAGCCTGGCAGCTGGAGGAGGGTTTCGTGCCAGAGCTCTCCAATAGAGGGCGCCATAGCAGTGCGCTCTAATGTGGTTGGGGGACCCAGCGGCCACTCTGGCTGAGGACGGAGGGAGCATGGTCAGCAGGTGGGACTCTCGCACAGCTCTGTGACAGTCCCACGGCCCACGTCGTGCCATCAGGGCCACGGGCAGAGGCACAGGCCGCCCATGGCACTGTCAGACCCTCATGGCACTCCAGACGCCCCAGGGTCTGCACAGTCTGCTCCCTGGGTCCGCGGAGCGTGGCCCCTTGCACCAGGGAGCCTCCCACACTGACCACCAGACCCCCGGTGGGCTCTGCAGAAGGGTCCTGGGCTGAGCTGGCCATGTGCAATTGGCAAGGCCCAGCCCCCTGGGGGGACTCGGCCACCACAGCCGTGGAGGGGGCCCTGCTGCTCTGCGGGGCCTGGTTCACTGCAAACCCACTCGGGGGTTTCCTGCCTCCCGGGCTCCCTCGGGGCCATCAGAGCAGGCTGGGCAAACGCCCCAGCTTCCCACCCACAGAGGCACAGCCGGGTGCAGGCTGCGGGCTGCGGGGCAGGTTCGCTCCGAGGGTGAGCTCTGCAGAGGCCCGGTGACAGCCAGCGTGGCCACTCGGTGCCGTAGCTGGGCTTGTGAAAATGGGCGGGGAAAGTGCAAGAAATGCAGGGATGCTTCTTGGGCCTCGGCCCGGGTCGCCCACAGGTCAGCTTCCCCAGCCTTCTTCCTGTGCGTGGCTCTTCGGATGCAGACACGGGTCCTGAGGGCACATGGCAGCCGGCTGGACACAGCAGCCTGCCCGGCACATGCCTCCCCTGTTTCCAGAGCCCCGGCAGGGAGAGGTTCAGGAACAGCGTTTCTGTCTCAGAGTCTTGCTTGCAATGGACCAGGTGCCCTGCCCACGGGGAAGGCGAGTGTCGTGCAGGGCCACAGGGCTCTTCTTCGGGTCCCTCTTCCCCGTCAGGAACAAAGATGTGGAGTGACCCACTTCCCCACTTCCTCACCAGGTCCTGTGTCGGCGTCGCGGTAAAATCACTGTGCGGCGTGAGTCCCTGACAGTCAAAGAAAATCCGATGGTCCAAACATGGGGTGTCTTGGCAGGGCTGAGGCCAGATCCGGGGTCAGGGTGGTGGCGGGGCTTGTGGGAGGAGCACGGCACACGGCGGACCGTGGCGAAGGTGGCTGGACGGTCGGGTTGCTGGGGCAGCGAGCGGCCTCAGGTGTGATGGACACCTGAGCGGGACTGTCAGCACGCGCCCACTTCCGACCCGGCGGAGGTACTCACCCAGCCTCAGGAGGCCGTTGCGGCCACAGGTGGCTTCTCTCTCCAGCTGCTTTGCAGCCCGTTCTCTCCCACGGCCTCCACTCTGCGCTGTTTGCTGCCCAGGGCCTCCTCCGTCCAGTGGGCAGGCGCCTCCAGCGTGGGGCGTGTGTTGCAAAACCGTCATTTTCGGAGTTTTGAACCTGTTGGCGTTACTCCAGGGCCTGCCTCGTCCCACAGCCACATCAGGGTGGGAACGTGTCCGTGGGAGGCTGCTCCGCGGAGGGGGGGGCGATGGCCTGCGAGCCCCGCGGGCTTCATCCCTCCCAGCTCGGAGGAGCTCGAGGTCACCTTCATGCAGGAACACGGCACGGACGCCATCGTCATCCTGGACGGGTCCTTGGGCCACGTCCCCTCCCACCTCCTCGGCACCAACAAGCCCACCACAGCGTATCCGCAGCTGGGGCCGCCGGGCCAGCAGCCGAGATGCCACAGCTGCATCGATGTAAAAACGGTTCCTTCCACTCCGAGCCAAAGAGCTTGGTGCCGGTCTGCTCCCGGCTGCCCGTGGGAGGACTGGAAAGGGATAAATAAGTGGGAAAAAGATTGTTTCATTTCACTCAAAGGTTTCTCCCCAAAGACCAATCAGAAACTGAATGTGTCACCGTGGCCTCGGGGCGCTGGGAGCCCTCGGGCCCTGTGTTGCTGCCGAGTGTGTGTCCCGCAGCCGTGGGGTCGTGGCAAGGGGCACGGGGCCCACGGACAGGGTAACTGTTTGGTCTCCCTCAGCCCATACAGGGTTTTTCTTTCCTCCTTATGGGCATTTGATTGAAAGTCTGTGTTTAGGAAGCTGAAGCTGACATCGATTCTTCCCATTATCAGCTGCAGAGACGTTGGGATTTAAACAGGACTCTGCCCAGCAGCCTCTGTCCGTCTGAAGGGGGGTGGGTGGCAGTTGAAAGCCCAGCCCACAGCTGGAGGAACTACAGGGATGGACGCGTCTCAGTGACTGAGGACAGCCGCCCAGAGCCCCGGCCCCGTGGCTCCAGCTGCCGACAGATGGGGAGCGTCTGGCCTGCGTCACCCGGCTGGCTCCGGGCAGCTCTGGGCTGGGCGGCGGACTGGGCGGCGAGGGGCTCACCAGGGCTGGGGCCAGCCTGGCGGCGCCTTGATGGATGAAAGGCTGTCATTATGAGCCTTTCAGGTTCCTCATGAACTTGACAAGTTCCACATGGATGGCAGTTAGGGTCGGTCCTGAAAACTGGCACCAGTGGTAGGGGTCCCAGGTCCTGGTGGGTCTCAGGGGCGTGCCGTTGGTGGACGGAGGAGCTGGGACCCTCGGCATGCAGGTGTCATCGTGGTGTGAGGATGCAGGATGGAGCGGCCCGGGGCTGCACCCTGAGCTCTGCCCTGGTGGGGACAGGGCGGGGCAGCCACTGCCACAGGGAGGCTGAAATGACTGCGGCTTTGTCACGGTCCCCCTGGTCCTCATGATCCCCACGAGCCTGTGCAGCTCTCTGAGAAACTTCTGGGTTCTGTGTGAGGTTCTCATCAGGCCTGGGGCCTGGGCACAGGGACAAGGCGGGTGGGCAGCTTGGTCTCGCTTCTTCCCTCCTTTCTCAGGGTCGAGTCATCCATACACACACCCCAACATGCACACATCACACTCCAACATGCACACATCACACCCCAACATGCACACATCACACCCCAACATGTGCTCACACACCCAGGCAGCGGGCAGCGTCTCCGAGAACGCCGGGCCTGCCAACTGAGGCCCGGTGGGGAGCTCTGCCCCCGGCAGCCGGCCAGGCCAGGACCCCCATTCGGTGGTGGCAGGTTGGGGGGGCCACCATGCTCCTAAAAGGAGCTCCTCCGTTTGAAGAGGGCGGTTCTCAAGGAGCTTCCCAGGGCAGCACAGGTGAGTTTTCGTTTATGTTCGTAGGAAAATCACAGGCTGTAATCGGTGCCCTGGGGCCGAGGTCCAGAACGTGGACACAGAACAAGTAGCTTGCGCAGAGCCCAGAAGGTGCTCCCCCCAGTGACACGTGGCCCTCTTGCTCCTGGTCACCAGGCCTGAATGCCTGTGCTGTGCCCCAGGGGCGGCCGGGGAGGGGCTGCAGGGTCCTGGAGTGGGGTTCCCCACCGGCTCCTCCTCCCAAGGGCGCTGGGAAGAGCTCCCCGCCCTGGAGGGGCGGGGCGAGGACCCCTGGAGGATCGGGAGGTGGCCTGTGGCCCATCCTGTCTCCCCTTCCAGCTGTACCCGTTCTGCTGCCTCACGTACCG